GACCCGGCGACCCGGCGACCCTGCGGCCGGGCGGGGAGGGGTGGGGGCGCGGCGCTGCCCTCCTCTCCCCGCGGGGCCTGCCCGGCCCGGCGTCCTCCCGCGTGCCGCAGGGGCCGTGTGCGCCGGATCCCGGGGTGCCTCTGCGCCGGCTGAGACCTGCCTTGCCTGCCGGGGGCTTTGCTCCGGTCTCCGGGTCCCCACCTTGCGACCCAAAGCGCTGCGGCTCCCGACCTAGCGCTCCCCCCACCCCCCCACCGTCGGGAGCTGGCCCCGGCTGGACAGCGCCCATTCGCTTCCCGCTCCCTCTCCCCCGGGGCTTTGTCCCCGGCCCCTGTCTTGCCGCCCGCCCCCTCCAGGGTCTCTGCTCGCACCCAAGGGCGCGCATCCAACCTGCGCCTAACTTTCCGCCGCTCCCTATAGGGGACTTGGCTCATCGAGTGCCTCTCCCCAAACTTCCTAGCCGTTTGCTTCAGGTGTCGCTGCCCCATCCCCGGGGACACCCATATAACCCCTGTGCGTCCTCTTCTGGTCGCTGTCCACTGACCTAGGCTCCCGTCCCTACCTCTCACCCGCCCCCTCGGTGGTGCTGGGGATTCTGTTCTCCCTGGCAAGCCCGTCCGCCCGCTCCGCCAGGCCCCTCACCCTCCGCCCGCCGTCCCCATGGTCCCAGAGCCGGGCCCCGCCAACACCAGCACCCCGGCCTGGGGGTCGGGGCCGCCGTCGGTCCCCGCAGGCAGCGGCTGGGTGGCGGCCGCGCTGTGCGTGGTCATCGCGCTGACGGCGGTGGCCAACTCGCTGCTCATAGCGCTCATCTGCACGCAGCCGGCGCTGCGCAACACGTCCAACTTCTTCCTGGTGTCGCTCTTCACGTCGGACCTGATGGTGGGGCTGGTGGTGATGCCGCCGGCCATGCTGAACGCGCTGTACGGGCGCTGGGTGCTGGCGCGCCGCCTCTGCCTGCTCTGGGCCGCCTTCGACGTGATGTGCTGCAGCGCCTCCATCCTCAACCTCTGCCTCATCAGCCTGGACCGCTACCTGCTCATCCTGTCGCCGCTGCGCTACAAGCTGCGCATGACGCCCCCGCGTGCCCTGGCGCTAGTCCTGGGCGCCTGGGGCCTCGCCGCGCTGGCCTCCTTCCTGCCCCTGCTGCTGGGCTGGCATGAGCTGGGCCGCGCGCGGGCACCCGACCCCGGCCAGTGCCGCCTGCTGGCCAGCCTGCCCTTCGTCCTCGTGGCGTCGGGCCTCACCTTCTTCCTGCCCTCGGGTGCTATCTGCTTCACCTACTGCAGGATCCTGCTGGCTGCCCGCAAGCAGGCCGTGCAGGTGGCCTGCCTCAGCACCGGCCTGGCCGGCCAGGCCTTGGAGACATTGCAGGTATCCGGGGTGCTCAGGGAGAACCGGGCTTGTGGGATAGAGAAGAAGGAGCAGCCACTGGGCGCCCCCTGGGCATTCAGCACTTAGTAAACACTTCCGATGACCTCCACGTGGCCATTCCCAGCTCCCACCTTTCTTCTGAGCTCAAGACTCAGTGCCTGACTGGCTGCTCGACAGCTTCACCGGAATGTGGGGCCGGCCTCTCCAAGGCAGCATGTAACAGGGAATTTAGGGTGGCCCATCTCTCCTGCTCTGCCCCTCCTCCAGCCTGCCCCATCATGGCATCACATGCCAGAAACTTATGAACCATTTTTCTCTCCCATGCTCATGCCATTCATTAACGAGCCTGTTGGTGCTGCCTTCTAAACAGGTGCCGTCTCCACTGCCACCTCCCTGATCCAAGCCACTGTCACTTCTTACCGAGCAACCTTTGATAGACACCTGCTAACTCCCCCTGCTTCCACTCCAGACCACTACTATTCATTTCTCTGCACAGGAGCCAGAGACATTTTTAAAAAGTGATCATGTCACTCTCCTTCTTCAAACCCTTCTGTGACTCCCCCTTGTGCTCAAGATAAAGAGAAAACCCATGTCAGGATCTGGCCTCAGGACCTGGCCCTGCCAACCTCTCCAGCTTCACAGCCTCCCCTTTCCTTGTCTCTTAATCTGCACCAGCCCCGGGTCTTTCTGATGGCTCCTGGAAGGCACCAGGCTTACTTCTGTGCCAGGGTCTCTGCACCTGCTGTTCCCTCTGCCTGGATGCTCTTCCCCTCAGGCTGCTCTTGCCTGACTCTTTGCACCTCACCTCCTGCCAGAGGCTGTCCCCGGCCACCCAGTCTGCAGACCCATCTGCCCTCTCCCACCCTCTGTCACAGCCCCCAGTTTATTGCTGACTTGCTCATGCTGTCTCCCCAACTCAAATGTAAGCCCCACGAGGGTTGTGGGTATCTAGGTCAGTACCGATCCCCACTGTGCATCGTAGGTGCTCAGTACTGGTGAAGGGAGTGGGTGCGCTTAGCTCGAGGCCTTGCAGTGTCTTATTGCCCACCCTGAGGGGTGGGGGTTTGGACCGAGGAGGCCTGAGCCCCAGAGACTTAGGTCGTGGGCGCTGGGAAGGTACCAGCTGGGCTCTCTTGGTTTAGCCTCAGGTGGAGGCTTTGGGGGGGGGCCTCAGGGGTCACTGGGCAGATGAGGACTTGGCTGAGGGGTGAAAGGCTAACAACCTTCTCAGCAGTCCCCCAGAAGAGCTTGTCTGTCCCACCCCAGCGGTGAGGCCCAGAGCTGGGCCTGGCCCATCAACTAGGAGGGTAGGAACCCAGGGGACAGGAGCTGCTGGCTGCAGCCCTGGCTCTTTCTCCCTATCTGTGCTCCCTGGAGAACATTCTTGAGTCTTGGCAGGTGGCTGTGACCCTGATGATTCTTCACCGGTGGGATGGCTGTCCCGGCCATCTACACTGTCTCCCTGGGTTTTTGTAAAGGAGTGTTTCCCAAACTTCGGGGCTTCAGGAACCACCTGAGGATATCGACCTCACTACTCCTTCCACAGCTCCCTCCCCAAACCTCAAGCCTCTTTATTCATATGCCCGTAGCATTTTCTTTAAATCATCTCACTTATCTTTTTACTTCCATGCATTTGTTTAGAAAGAAAACTCCATGTCTCTTCTGGAAATGGAAAATTGGCATCCCTTGCCACAAATAGAAGGCAGTCACGAACAACTTCAGTGAAGTTGAAGACACCCCAGCAGTATCACTGCAGCCCAGCTTGGTGTGGCTGAAGTGACTAAACCCAAGGCCTGCTTTCTCTTTGTGACGTGTTAGAGGGTGTTAAAGACATAGTAGCTCCAGCACGAGCCTTTCTCTTGATGTACAGAAGAGCCAGAAGAGAACTGTAAAGGGCTAACATTCCCACTCTGTGATTCAGCTATTTTAGGGGGGTATCCATTTACCACCTCAAATCATCTTCCATCCCCACACTTCAGGAAGCGCTGCTCTAGTGACTGAGTGAGGGAGAGGTGGCTGGTCCAGGTGAGGTCGGGGTAGGAGACATCAGGATTCCCGGTTCCAATGGTACGGGTGACAGAGTTTCTTTCCTTGAAGCTAGTTGGCTGGTACAAGGATTGAAGCTGAGACTGTGGCCTCAGAACCTGGACAGGAGTCTCCCTGCAGGTGCCAACTGCAGCTCAACAGTCTTGGAACATTCACTCCGCACGAGGCACCAAGCTAAGCTTAGTAATCCTCCAAACGCCCAATGAAGCAAGTACTGCCGTCATCTCTGTTTGACAGATGGGTAAACCGAGGTTCCGAGAGAGGAGAGGTGACTTGCCCAGGGTTCACAGCTGGTAAGTGAGGTCCAGGTTCAGATCTGACTGATGCCAAAGTCTCGGTCTGAGCTGATGTGCTGCCGGTGGGCAGTGACACTCTCTTGAAATACTGTGTTTGGGGACACCACACTGTGTCCCTTTACTTCTCTGACTGTGCCTTCTGGTCTCCTCTGTGGGGTCCTCCTGATCTGTCCCTAGACGTGGCATACTTGGGACTCACCCCTGGGATGTCCTTGCTCTTTTTCCACATTCGCTCCCTTAGTGATCTCATCTTGTCTCACAACTGAAAATGCCACCTACACGCTGTTGACTTCCAGCCTGGGCTGCTTACTTAACATGTCCCAAGCAGAACTCTGGATATTCCAGGTCTCAGACCTACTCCCCCCATGGTCTTCCTTATGGTCATAAATGGCAGCTCCATTCTTCTGGAACTGTGGAGGCAGCCTGGACGCCTCTCTTTTTCTCACACTCCACATCCAGTCCTCTTATCTCCACCTTCAGAACACGTCCAGGCTCTGCCGCCACTTCCTCTGATGCCCGGGTAGTTGTAGTGATCTCCCAATTGACTTCCTGATCCACTCTTGCTCCCTTTCAACCTCGTACAGCAGCTAGAGTGATCCCTTTAAAATGCAAGTGCTGTCAGATCATTCGCTGCTCCGGTAACCTCACGTCTCAGTCACGTGCTCCTCTGCTTTGTCTCTGGCCTGCTCTCCTCCCACCTTCCCCCTTTGCTCTTTCTTGCTCAGCCACACTGGTCTCTTTGCTGTTCCTTGAACACCCCAAGCACATCCCTGCCTCAGGACCCTTGCACTTGTTGGTGCTTCTGCTTGGAGTGGCCTTTCCTCATATTTCCACATGGTTCTCCCCCTAACTCCCATCACTTCCGGCCTCTGTTCAGTTGCAAGTGCCACCCTCCCTAGGTCCTCTCCAGCCCTAATTTCCTGAGTTCTCTCTCTCAGCAGCACTTACTGCCACCTGTCATATTCTTACCTATTTAAAAAAAATTTATTACTTCTCCTTACTAGAATGTAAGCTCTATGAGGGTGGGAACTTGTCTTTTTTTGTTTTCTGCTCTGTTCCCAGTAGCTAAGACAGCACCTGGCACATAGTAGGTACTCAGTACATACTAATGGACAGAGAGAAGTGAGCACAGTGCTTCAGAGAGCTCGCAGTGACATCCCTGGTCACATTGCTGCCTTTTCTATCACTTCTTTCAGAATCATTTTTTGTAGGTGATGATCCCAAGCTTTTTATTACATGAAGTAATTTGCTTGGTAACGTGTATTGAGTGCCTACTGTATGCAGGAGCTGTTCTAGGCTGGGGATGTGGTGATGAATGGGAATCTGTGTTCTAGTTGGGGAGACAGACATTGATTGTGACACACCACCATGATGAGGATTACGAAGCTTGTAAGAGAGGCGCCTCACGTGGCGATCCTTCCAATCTGTTATTCACCACGTACGCTTGGAGACTAAAGCAGTCACGATGAGCCCTAAAACGAAAAGCTGGGAGGAGTCTTCATGGGTCATTTAGGCAGCACCCTACCTCTGAGGCAGATGGCCACTGGGCCTCTCAGGCCAGCAACGTGTCTATTCTAACTCCTCCCACTTTCTGGAAAGCCTGTTCTCTTGGTTTGATTGCGAAGTGTCAGACTCTACCAGTGTCCTTGCTTCCAAAACCACTTGGCTCCTAAGTAAGGCTTCTGCATGCCTGGAGAGTTGCTTGCAATTTGGGAATTTGCTTCTGGGATGCTGCCTCTACTCTGACCTCCTGGGTCATGACCCCTCTCCTCCCACCCGAGCTGGTCTGTCCCAGAGACCAGCAGTTCCCAGCATGGAGGTGGAGGCTCTCTTGATGCCTGGACCTAAAGGAACTGATGAGAGAGAATCAAGCTTGGGCATGTTAGCTCCTTTCCTCCTGTGCTCAGCCCTACTCAGTGCTTCGCTGTCTTCCCCAACCCAGCCTCTAGCTTCCACACAGAGGGGAGGGAGCTGGGCACAGCCCATAAGTCCTGGTCAGCCTTCAGCATTTTACCTCCCCCCATCTCCTACATATGCTTATTTATGCATTTACAGAAACTTAAAAAGGCCACTAACTGGCTTAGTGGTTTCTTCCCGGCTGCCCCAGGGGCTGGGAGAAAGGGTCACGTGCTTAGAGCTGAGGCAGGGCTGTAGGCCAGGGCTGGAGAAAGGGCCATGGGGAGCAGTGGGGTCACAGTGAGCTGCTGTCAGGGCGGGGGAGTGTGAGTGTGAGTGTGTGTTTGAGAGTGTGTGTGTGAGTGTGTGAGTGCGAGTGTGTGTGACTGTGAGTGCACGTGTGTGTGTGACTGTGAGTGTGAGTGCGTGTGTGACTGTGTGTGTGTGAGTGCATGTGTGTGTGAGCGCATGTGAGTGGGTGAGAGTCTGTGAGTGTGTGTGTGTGTGAGTGCGTGTGTGTGTGAGCGCATGTGAGTGGGTGAGAGTCTGTGAGTGTGTGTGTGTGTGAGTGCGTGTGTGTGTGAGCGCATGTGAGTGGGTGAGAGTCTGTGAGTGTGTGTGTGTGTGAGTGCATGTGTGTGTGAGCGCATGTGAGTGGGTGAGAGTCTGTGTGTGTGTGTGAGTGCGTGTGTGTGTAGCGCATGTGAGTGGGTGAGAGTCTGTGAGTGTGTGTGTGTGAGTGCGTGTGTGTGTGAGCGCATG